AAGTTCGCAACTGTTTTTGACAAGGATGGACTTCCAGCTCCCTCTTAGATTCTGTAGTTATTGTATGATTCTACGTATCAAGAAATTATGGTGTAATCTCAATCTTATTGTAGAAGATATGCTGCAAGCTAATGAAAATTCTTTATTCTTGGAAAAATATTAAGAATATAAAAAAAAGCAACCTAAAATTGCATAATTATTCTTTAATTGAACCAACTAAGTAAGAATTTCAAAATTCTATTGCAAAGTAAAATTAGAATCTGATAAAAAGCAACATAAAACTACATAATTATTCATTAATTGAACCAATTAAGCAAAAATTCAAAATTCTAAAACATGTCATTGAAAAAGTAAGATCATTGTACACAGGAGTCAGTGGGTCGTAGCTTTCTTCATTTAGTCATACAATTAAATGGAGGGAGACATGAAAAATTCGTATCCAAACAAGTCATAGGTATTCACATTTGGTCACGTAATTAATTGGACATAGACATTGCAACAAAAATATAAGATAAGAACATAAATGCATGCATTTAAGAATTTTTTTTAAAATTAAGGATGAATTTTGAATTTTACAGGTTCATTGAACTGACTAAACAAACACGAAATATACATTGTTTATATATATATATATATATATATATATAAACTAGTATAAATATTTCTTTTGTAGGCGGGTCAGGGGTAGGGGTGGGGGTGGGGGTGGAGTCATGGTCCATCGTTGAGTCTTGAGGTGTGCTTTGGTCAGAGATTAGGTGATTTTGACTTGTGTAAGGTTTTTTATTTAGGTGATTAGGTAATATCAATGGGTGAGCCAAGGCATGCCCTCATTGCCTGACGTACGGCCTCTCTCCACCGTCCATTATAAACCATGCGTTACTCAAGGACTCTAGGCGTTTGATTGTGCCATTTGATGTAAGGATCAACACGAGAATTTGGAGTCAAAAGTATTGGCAGCTGTGGTTGTCTTATAACGTGTTAACTGTGTCTGGTCATCTTAATTTGTACGATTATCAACACTTATAATTACCATGTCAAATGATTAAGACATATTTAGGCTACTAATTAGCTAATATTTTCTTTCCATTATGGCTGTCGGCTGTCCTTTGCGGACCATAACCTATAAACCGGCAACCTAATCTCTTTATTAGTTCATTTTCTGAACTATCAGTTGTGTCATTCAATAAGATTGGTTATGTCAATTAGTCAACTTGACTAAATTTTGTCAAATGTAGGCTTGCTACCCAAGGGAATTGTTGATTACCACGTTTAACAAACTTAATTTATCCAATAGTTTACATATATATATATATATATAATAACTCTGATTATTAAATCAACATTCATTGATTCTTAATTGATGATCATTTTAATTGATCAAACGTTTAATAAATATCAAATAAATCATTTAATCATATTAGTGTAAGTCAATTAATCACATCAATATCAATCAATTATAAAATGTAAAATCGAAACATATCTATCACATTTTAAACCCTCAATTTTACTTTCACTTTCACTTACTCTTACTGATTTCTTTATTTTCTCTTTTTTTTTTTTTAATTTTTTTCATCTATTACATTTCATCGATTTGAACGTCAGAGCTACATCAAAATCCTACTTCGAACGCTCCCCTGATTTTTCTTTATAATTCATGTCAATTTTTGGGTCAATCACCTAACCAGCCTTCCAACAATCATCTAGTTACCAAAACCAAAAAACCATCCACAAATTATAATATATCCCTCCTAAAATACATCATTTATGCAAAATTAAGTTTTTCTTTTTGGTTAAATGCAAAATAAGATTGACAAATTTGAATTCTTGCAAAATTTTCGTCTTCTCCTAATTCTTGACTTATAATTCTTCAAATATAATTGGGTTTTTTTTTTTTTTTTTTGCTCATTAAGGTAGGAAACCTTATAAAACTTTATAAGATAATTATTAGAATTAAAATTCCACTCAATAAACTCGAAGTACTACCCAACCCAACCTAATAATTCACCTAAAGCAATAATTACTCGACTATTTACATTAAAACAAGTTTAAAAGAAGGAATTTATTAAAAAAAATCAAATGGCCAATAAAAAAAAATATTCAATTAAGAGAATTTACGGATTTGGTTCAATTCGATTAATTTTTTTAAAATTTTTATTCAAACTCTAATCTAATTTATTGAGTATGAGAGACGTGAAATTGTTTATAAAAATATTAATATTCTCAATATATTTTAAAATAAAAATTAAATAAAATTTTTTATTAATTAATAAATTAAAAAAATTTTATTCAAAATCCCACTTGGCCGATCACCTAACCATAGGGACTTTTTGTTTAGTTGTCTTTGTCATTTTCCTAAAATGTGAAAGGAATAAAACGTGTAAAGTCCAATTTGGTTGATCGATATGTGCATGTTAGCACTCTTCTTTTCATTTCTGTGGATAAGAAATGAGCAATATTGACCAAAGCTAAATTCTAGATTTGATAAAAGGGTCAATGAGAAAATAATTTTCAATCACATACGACTATTATTTTTGGGTTTATTTTAAACCATGCTTACCAACTTTGCTCCTAAATTTATCCCTCTCTTTTTCCCCTTCTTTTAAAGCATCATATATAATTGAATCTTAAAAATTTGGAGAAATTTGATGGCTACGATTTGAAGATTTACTATTCAAAAATTAGTCTTAAATGGAAATTTTAGCATTGAAATTTGAATTACCAATTATTCAAAACGATCCAATCATATTAATTTCTTTGAAAATCTAGTCATATTATTAGAAAATTATACAACGAAATATTTTATTATGTTTCAAAGGACCAATTATATAACAAAACTATATGTTGAACATGGTTATGAAATTTGAAAAAAAATGATAATGAAAACACGAGCTAAGCATGGTGACAATTTCCCATGTATCAAAAAATAATATTTAACTAAGTAAATAAGTATACCATTTTAATAATAGGAAACATTGAATTAATTTATTTCAGCACTCAAAGTATTTAAAGTAGAAAAGAAAACTAAAACAATGGACCAAAATAAAATACATTTAAATGGATATTTTAAATAAGATTAAAGAATTATCAACTTATGATAGGTTCAAATGTTGCTTAGGCTTGAATCCACTGAAAAGTTGTTTAAAAATAATTTTTTTATGAATTCATCATGTTTTTTGTAGATAAACATCTTTGGGCTGATTCATAGAGAGGATATGTTGAATAAAGTCTAAAACCTTTTATTTTTTGATAAAAAAAATTAAAGAACAATAAAGTTTACATACATAATTTTTCAAATGATTATTAAATAATGTTTAAATAACAAGAAAGTTTAAATAATGTCTTTTTTTTTTCAATATTTTAAAGTCCATCCTTAATAAATGTTTTCACTTTCTTTTTCTTTAAAATATATTTTAAGTTGCTTAGAATATTAATCAAGTATATTAAGAAAAAATTAATAGTAAAAATTTTTAAATTTCAACGCTTTATAATAATTTCTTTTTACATATAACATCTAATTGACTTTAGACAGTATGGTGGCAGGTAAGTTTCTTCCATTTTATAAACTCGAACCTGCTTAGTATTTGAATTTGAAAACTCCATGTTAAAAGCCCCATATTCTAATCACAAAGCATTAATATTTCCTTTGGAAATTTTCGACATTTTTATATACAATTAGTAAAATCAAAATTTAGTATGATATTAATTATCCAATCAATTGTTTTTTTATTTAATTATTTAGAGCTGTTTACTTTATAATGCACGTTTTGCTGAGCACCATGTTATTATAATTGAACGGTATAGTTCCATTCTTTTGAATGATGTTTTCATTTTGCTAAATCACCTAAAAAATTAAAAGCAAAAGCTAAGATCAAATGAGATATTAAATTATTCATATCATGTGGAATTCATGTTCAAGGTCAACTTCTAGGTAGATCTTATTCCTTATATTTTAATATATACTTATGATACTTTACCTTAATTTTTCCAAGCCATTGAAGCACTTTATTGATTTGGATAGTCCTAGGTCCATGCCATATAATATATCCCAATAAGATATTCCCTCTACATTAACAACCGAACTAATTATAACAATTAATTCAAAATTAAATTTTCTTATTCACTTGATTTAAATTATTAACATTACGTCACTAATTGCATGATTTATTGGTAAAATATTATATTTAATTTTAGTCATCATAATTCATTTTTTTAATAATTTTAAATATAAAAAAAACAATCAATAAATTAGAATATAACTAAACAGATCCAATATAAAATTAAATTAAATCCATACCCAAGCAAGATATCATGGGCGAAAAAATGAAATTTTATTATTATATTTTTTTAATTTAATTTTGAAGAAAAAGGTAAATATTTTGTAAAATGTTTCATTATTTAAAAAAAAAGCTCATTTAAGGAAAATAGTAATAAATTTCATAATCATCTTAAACAGAGTGTTAATCAATTTAGACCTGATTGCAAGAATGTTTTACTTATAACTTATCCAAAAAAATTATTAAAATACTATAATATATAGACAATAAACAAATGCAATCATAAAATAGTAGTGATTCATGTATTGAAGAATAGACGTTGCAAATGCGCCTGAATTCACAATAAACAAAAACAGGGAATCATGTAATGACAATGAACAAAAGTATGATAATACTAAAATAGAAGTGATTCTTGAAACGTGGAAAATTCCTTGAAAACGTGACAAGAAAGCAAAGCCCAAGTCCAGTTGATGTCATTAATATTTTCAGAAAAGAGCAAAAGTAGACAGATTTATGTTTCTTTAGATAGAGATTGGTCAACAATGAACTTCTCCCAGAATAAAACAGCACCAAGGTTTCATTACTTTTATGGTGTGCTTGACTTTTGACAAATTTTTAAACCTAACCGACACTTAGTCTCATTTTTTTTTTCTTTTGTAAATAAATTCATTTTTCCAGCACATTCTCCATATTATTAACTTCTATATAAAGAAACAAAGCCTTGTTGCTTTAATATTATCAGCACATGCCAGCCTTCTCTTGACCTGTTCATCTTATCTTTCCACCAAGTTTCCTCAGCTTGTTTTTTTTCTTCTTTCTATATATATTTTCTTGATTTGGGTCTTTTGAGCCAATTGGGAGAACTTGGTTTGGAACTTCAGTTGAAGGTTTTCAAGCAAAAACTTGCTTCTGCTTCTGCTTCTTACTTGGTCAATTTGAGGCAGCTTCCAGGTTTTGGATATACTTGATCTGCGTTTTTGCTAGAAGATTGAAAGAAACTAGACTTAGAGAAAAAGATATGGATACTTCTTCATGGGTGGATACATCATTGGATCTTAATGCTTCAGCTAGGTCCCTACGACTTGAAACTCCGGTACGTCAAAATTTTGATCTGGAAATTGTGAAAATTTCTTGTGCTTTTCCTGTTACTGGAATTGCTAAACTGATCAGAAGCTTTTCCACATGTTATGTTTCAGAAGGAGTCAGGTAGCAACTTAATTGTGTTTGGAAGCAAACTTTCAGTGAAAGAAGAGGTAAGTTCATGAATATTAATCTTATACAATTTTAGATGTGAATTGATTTCAATAAAATTAAGATGATTTTATGTTTCTGGTGCCTAAGAAATTCGCTACTAGTTAGAAATTTGACATCCAGGAGAATTAATTTTCTTGGAAACCAAACAACCTCGAAAACTTTGCAATATCCTAATGTTTTTGGTGTTATTTTTTAAGCTGAGTTAATGCTGTTTATTTTGTAGACTGGTGCTTTAATGGAAGAATTGAACCGTGTTAGAGCAGAAAACAAGAAGCTAACACAAATGCTAACAGCAATGTGTGAGAGCTACAATGCTTTGCAAAGCCAGTTGATGGATGTAATGAGCAAGAACACTGAAAAAGAGCATAGCCCTCCAAAGAAAAGGAAGTCTGAAAGCAGCAACAACAATATTGATAATAACTTTGGCATCATTGGGAATTCAGAAAGCAGCTCAACTGAGGAAGAATCATGCAAGAAACCCAGAGAAGAAATGATCAAGGCCAAAATTTCAAGAGTTTCTGTCAGGACCGAAGCATCTGATACTAGCCTTGTAAGTTCATAAAATCATTGCTCAGTTCATTAGATTCTAAGTATTTCAAAGTTTACTTTCTTGAACCCGAAGCTCGGTTGATTTATGCAGCCATAGACATTCAGCAGCTCTGAAATTTAAATCTTAATATATGCAATCTCTTTCTCTATTCCAGGCTGCAGCCTCTTTGTACTAAATATTTACTTTGTTATTCAAGTTGATTACACATGTACTTAATTTGGCGATCTTGATTTGTATTTCAGGTTGTAAAGGATGGATATCAGTGGAGGAAATATGGCCAAAAGGTCACCAGGGATAATCCTTCCCCAAGAGCTTACTTCAAGTGTTCTTTTGCTCCAAGCTGCCCTGTTAAAAAGAAGGCAAGCCTAGCTGTCCTTATTTCATTATATTACAATCAAACTCTAACAATCCGAGTAGTCACAAACATTTTGAGCTGCAAATAAAAGTTTGATTTTCTTCATGTTTTCAGGTGCAAAGAAGCGTTGATGATCAGTCTGTTCTAGTTGCAACTTATGAAGGTGAACACAACCATCTTCCCCTTTCCCAAATGGAACCAACATCAGGTTCAAGCCGTTGTGTGACCCTTGGTTCAGTCCCTTGTTCAGCCTCGCTTAACTCATCTGGACCAACCATTACTCTAGACCTCTCAAAATCTAAGTCCAGCACTGATCCTGAAGCTAGAAACTCCAAACCAAAAATGGATTCACCAGAAGTCAGACATTATTTGGTGGAACAGATGGCATCTTCCTTGACAAATGACCCCAATTTTACAGCAGCACTAGCAGCAGCCATTTCAGGAAGAATGTTTTCAACAAAATCCAATTGAAGGGTGGATGAAATATCAAAATATGGACCAATTAGACTTTTCATTTTTTCCTTTCCCTTCCAGGATTTATCTTGCTGGGAGAACATACCAGCTGACAAAGGATTCTATGATATTTTATGAGCTATAAGTAGATTGTTATGAACTTAGAATGTTGTAAATGTATACAACATTGCAAAAGAATTGGAAAAACAAAAAGGAAAGAAAAATAGAATTTGCAATCTGTTCAAGCATCAGCTTCTTGTAAATATTGTTTTAATTTGAGTATCAACATCAAGTGTTTTTCATTTCATGTTCCAAAAGAAATTTTGAGCATCAAGTGAACTTAATGGCTTAATAAGTTCTAATTTCCATGTACAGAACTTCGATCGTAAATTCTAACATTATTTACGAAATTCGTCTAAGAGAAGTTCAATGGCAGGCCTTCCCTTAATCATGGACAGTGCTAACTTCAATGCATTGGAACGCGTTCTAAAATGTTCTAAGCTCAAATCGATTGTTCACATATAAGACAGAAGAATGGAAACCATTTTCTGCCTTCCCTATTTCTTGATTACAGGATATATATATATGTGTAGTTAATTCAATCTAATCACGAGAGACAAAACCAGGGAAAATGCTTTATGATCTATGACAAGGTTTCAACTTCTCAAGGTGGAATTCAACAACAAAAACCAAGGAGAAGAAAATGATTTATGGCCATTAAGAGTCATAATTTAGATAAGGCAAAATGTAGCTGCTGCTGGTTAATAGATTGATCCACAAACTGATGCTTGTGTTGGAGTGTCATGAGCTTCTTCATCCTTAGTAGTCCTTCAAAGTAATTCACGTTAATCATGAATCTATATAAAATGATTAACAGAAGTGTATGGAAACAAAAATCTCGACCATCAAAAATGATCAAACATATATGTAAATGTTAAATTATGTTGAGTTTTAATTTTCAGTCTATTAATTATAATGTCTTCAATCTCATGTTGCAAATATGTGATAATTTATTATGGTATATATGTAAAAGTTTGAATCAATACTAATTGTGAAGGGTTTTTTTTTTTTTTTTTTTTGTGAAAACAATCATGAAAATTTCAAATTAGAATAGACAATATAAATGCATGTTTCTATATTTTTTGGATGGAATCTTTTGTTAGTATTGTTAAATTTTTTTTGAAGTTATTGTTATTATTATTAATCCATTTCAAAAAATATATATTATAAATTAGTAAGAATAAAAAGCAAGTAAAATGAGTACGGTGACAATGAACTGCAAAACATAACATGTTCTGCACGTCTTCAGTCTTCAAGTTGTGTTGTAATAAGACAGAGAATAAGAAAAGCCATCCAGGACTAGGTCCCAAGCGTGTGAGCCTCCCCATGCACATGTTCCAATTGTTAGGAAAATGGGGTCCAGTCCCATGTAAGTGGTTTTGGACCAAGTAAAGACCATGGGCCTTGATCTTTTATTTTACACAGAGCCCTAGTTACTTAAAAAAAAAAAAGATTGTTTAAGGTGTGTGTCGACAACCAAGCAGAGAAAGAAGAAAAGCCAGGAAAAGCAAAGAGAGAAAAAGAAGAAGGGAGAGTTGGTTAAACGGAAGTCGATCCGTGGTCCGATTGAGTTGGAACCTTGTCAGGAGGTTTATGATTCAGAGTTATACATTCTGAACGGTGAAGATCGGGTTTGAAGCTCTCTAGGAACAAATCCAGGGTGTATTTGTTGAGTTACTTATTTGGTGAGATTTCTCCAATTGTTTCTCTAGTTGTTGATTAGCTTTAGTTTTAACTAGAGAAGAACTTTGTATAACTATTATTTGATAGTGAAGATTTTTCTGGTGGCCCGTGGTTTTTCCCTCTACACTGGAGGGTTTTCCACGTAAATCTTGGTGTGCTTTATTTTTCCTGCGCATTTGATTATTGATTGTTGTCTATTGCTTCTGTATTGTTGTGATTATTGCTTCAGGCGCAACAAGTGGTATCAGAGCGAGAGTTATTTTGAGACATCGATACAGAAGCAACCCAGGATAGAAGTAAATTCTGTTTGAGATCATGGAGGGTGATACAGGTTCCATGATAAAATTGACAGCATCAAATTATTCAATTTGGAAGCCTATGATGGAGGATCATCTATACTGCAAAGATTTGTATGAGCCAGTATTGGGTGATTCTGCTAAACCAGCAGATATGAAAGATGAAAGCTGGAAGAAGCTAGGTAGAAAGACGCTGGCTACAATCAGAAAATGGGTTGATATCAGCGTGTTTCATCATGTAGCGCAGGAGTCAGATGCTCACATTGTTTGGGAAAAATTGGCAGCATTGTATGAGAGAAAAATAGGTATGAATAAAGTTATGCTTGTTAAGAAGATTGCAACTTTACAGTACAGGGATGGACGATCTGTTACAGAGCACTTGAGTGATTTTCAAGATATATTTAATCGGATGACTACTATGGAACTTAAGATGGATGATGAAATGAAGGCATTATTTCTTTTGGGTTCATTGCCAAACAGCTGGAATACTCTAGTTGTGACTGTTCTTAATTTAGCTCCTGATTATAAGGTGACATTGGAGATGGTAAAAGACAGTATGCTTAAAGAAGAAGCAAGGCGAAAAGATGTAGACCTTGGGAATCAAGCTCTGGTCACAGAGAACAGGGGTAGAAACATCGACAGAGGTCAGGACTCAAAAGGCCGTGGTAAGTCTAAACATAGATCCAAGTCTAGAGGTAAAGTGAAGTGTTTCCATTGTGGTAAGGCGGGTCATATAAAATGAAATTGTAGAATCTTAAAGCAAGAGCGAAAAGATGAGAAAGGCAAGAGTTCAGATGATGGCAATGTTGCAGCAGTGAATTCAGATAGTGATTCAATTACTTTGATTTGTACACATGGTGATTGTAATCATGTTAGTGATCCCGACATTGAGTGGATAGTTGACACAGGAGCGGCATATCATTGTGTTCCTAAGAGAGAGTTGTTTACAACTTACAAAGCAGGAGACTTTGGTTGTACCAAGATGGGAAACAAGAGTGTGTCGCAGATTGTTGGGATTGGTGATATTGTTGTACAAACTAGTACAGGCTGCATGTTGACTTTGAGAGATGTCAGACACATTCCAGTAATGAGAATGAACTTGCTTGCTATTAATGTCCTTGATAAGGAGGGATATGAAAGCCGATAAAAGAATGGACAGTGAAAGCTTCTCAAAGGATCTATGGTAGTTACAAGGGAAAAACTATGCTGCACAATGTATAAGACATGGATGCAATTGAACGGTAACCAGGTAAATATCGTTGAAAATGATGCTTCAGCAAACTTGTGGCACAGGAGGCTGGCACACATGAGTGAAAAAGGGTTACAGGTTTTGGCAAGGCAGTCTCTCATTCCCTTGACCAAAGGTATGTCTCTCGATTCATGTGATTATTGTTTGTTTGGTAAGCATCATAGAGTTTCTTTTCGTAAAAGTTCTCAGAGAAAAGAAAATAGATTGGAATTAATTTATTCTGACGTATGTGGTCCTATTGAGGTTGAGTCATTAGGTGGTAGCAGATATTTTGTTACTTTTATTGATGATGCTTCACGTAAGACTGGGGTGTATATGTTGAAATATAAAAGTCAGGTACTGCAGTATTTTCAAAAATTTCATGCCATGGTTGAAAGGATGACAGGGTTACCCTTGAAGTGTATTCGAACTGATAATGGTGGGGAATACACATCTAAAAGCTTTGAAGAGTATTGCTCAAAGCATGGGATCAGGCATGAGAGGACAGAACCTGGAACACCGCAGCATAATAGTATAGCTAAAAGAATGAATCGCACCATTGTGGAAAAAGTCAGATGTATGTTGAGGATGGCAAAATTACCAAAGCCATTCTGGGGTGAAGCAGTCAACACAGCTTGTTATTTACTTAACAGGTCACCATCAGTTCCTTTGGGCTTTGACATTCCAGAAAGAGTGTGGACAGGAAAAGATGCTTCATACTCTCATTTGAAAGTTTTTGGGTGTAAAGCATTCATGCATGTACCAAAAGAGCAGAGGTTAAAGCTTGATAGTAAAGCTACACAGTGTGTGTTTGTAGGATATGGTGATGAGGAATTTGGCTACAGGGTATGGGATCCAGTAAAGAGAAAGACAGTCAGAAGCAGAGATGTGGTCTTTCATGAAAAAAAAACCATAGCAGACCTTGAGAAAAATGAGAAGACTACACGAGTTACTGTTGAGTGTGATGTTTCAACACCGACAGGGATTTCACAGGAAAGAGCCACAGATGGTGAAAATGAGCCAGAAATAGAACTTGGGGATATGGATGAGCCAGCTACAGTTGGTGATGAGCCAGATGCTATTAGTTTTGAGCAGGGGGAGCAATCCTCTCTACCTGAGAGTGTTGAGCAGGGGGAGCTACCTTCGGCATCAAGTGATGTAAAGTCTCAGCCTAGGAGATCTACTAGAGAGCGCATGCCATCTACCAGGTATCCAAGTTCATATTTTATTTTAGTTACCAGTGAAGGGGAGCCAGAAAGCTTTCAAGATGTGCAGGCTACTCCGGATAGAGAGCACTGGTTAAAAGCAATGAAAGAAGAGATGGAGTCATTGCGAAAGAATGGTACTTATGATCTTGTTAAACTTCCAACAGGAAAGAGGCCATTAAAGAATAAATGGGTGTTCAAGTTGAAAAAGGATGGTGACAAACTAGTGAGGTACAAAGCTCGATTGGTAGTAAAAGGTTTTTCTCAGAAACCAGGCATCGATTTTGATGAGATTTTTGCTCCAGTTGTAAAAATGAGTTCTATTCGAGTGGTACTGGGATTGGCAGCTAGTTTGAATCTTGAGCTTGAGCAACTTGATGTTAAAACTGTATTTTTGCATGGTGATTTACAGGAGGACATTTATATGAATCAGCCCTGAGGGTTTTTGAAGTGAAAGGGAAAGAGCACTTAGTTTTGTAAATTGAAAAAAAGCTTGTATGGCTTGAAACAAGCTCCGCGACAGTGGTACGAAAAAGTTTGATTCTTTTATGGTGAGTCATAGCTATAAAAGAACAGCAGCGGATTCTTGTGTGTATATTAAACAATTCCTAATGGTAACTTCATTATCCTATTATTATATGTTGATGATATGTTGATTGTAGGACAAGATGCTAGTATGGTTTTGCAGGTTGAAAAGAATAATTGTCTAAGTCCTTTGATATGAAGGATTTAGGTCCAGCAAAGCAGATTCTTGGTAATGGCATTATCCCGAGATAGGAGAGCTGAAAAGCTGTGGTGTCACAGGAAAAGTATATTGAACGAGTGCTTGG